ATTTGCAGCACTATCTCCTGAGTACCATAAAATTTTGTATACCGCCTGCCAACAAAATCTTTTCAGTATAGATACTTTTCTAATTTGTATTGCTTCTCAAATATCATTTGCGCCTACCTGTGATAAGTCTTTCCACCTGAAAACTGAACATTAGGGCAGTCCCATGCCAATGAAAAGGTAACAGTATGTGTTGCACCTGCTGGAACAGTAGCAGAAGCTGCAATTGCTGCCCCAATAGATGATCCTGGTTCTGATGGTGTTGACGTCTCAGGGAACTTAAGGTGGTCAAATGATCCGTGCTGTAACAGCAGAAATATAGATATAATTTTCCATGGAAAATCACCAACAGTATATAGGTCATAGCTCACATGGTAAAACAATTTTTTATAGAGCTAATGATTCAGAGTTTAAATCCTACTTTCACTCTCCACTCAAGAAAAAGGAGATTCCACAGAAAATGATGGTAAATAATTTTGTAAAAGGGAAGGATAGATGCCTAGCAGTAGTCACAATTGATTCTGATGGCACTGATGTCTCAGGGAACTTAAGGTGGTCAAACGATCCGTGCTGTAACAGCAGAAATATAGATATAATTTTCCAAGGAAAATCACCAAGAGTATATAGCCCATAAGTCACATGGTATAACACCTTTTTTATAGAGCTAATGATCCAGAGTTTAAATCCTACTTCCACTCCCCTCTCAAGAAAAGGGAAAGTCCACGGTGAATGATAATAAATAATTTTGTAAAAAAGAAGGATAGAAGTCTAGCAGTAGTCACAATTGGTTCTGATGGTGCTGATGTCTCAGGGAACTTAAGGTGGTCAAATTATCCGTGCTGTAACAGCAGAAATATAGATATAATTTTCCATGGAAAATCACCAAGAGTATAAAGCCCATAGCTCACATGGTATAACATTTTTTTATAGAGCTAATGATTTAGAGTTTAAATCCTACTTCCACTCCCCTCTCAAGAAAATGGAAATTCCATAGAGAATGATGATATATAATTTTGTAAAAAAGGACAGATGCCTGGCAGTAGTCACAATTGGTTCAACAAAAGAATACCTTAATCATTATAAATAAATAAATAAAAGGATGCCTCTTATCTGTCCTTCTAGTGGACTAATATGTATCCTATACATCTCTACCAATTCTCAACTGACAAATGTGTTGACTAAAGACTTAAGCAATTCAGTATTTCAGTCTCTTATTGGCAAGCTGTGGATGAATAATATCTATTCCCCAACTTGAAAATGAGTGTTAAAGAAATGAAAAATTAGATTAAAGGGTGGAAGAGTAAATTACATCATATATAATTAATTATAATTATTTATTTATTTTATTTTTCATTCTAAAAATAAATGTATATATAGGATTATAATATTCAATAGAATATGCATCAAACTATTCTTAACAAGTATCAATACTTTAAGAAGAAAAGTCCTATCTTTCATTTCCTTTGCAGAACAGTAAGATGGAAACAAAGAGAGATGAAAAAGAGTTGTCCATAAACAAGCATCTAAATTTGACCAACTATATCTAGATTAATAAAATTGATTGAAGCTTCACGACACTCAGAAAATACAAAATGAAACTATTAGACTTTCTTAATAAATTTGTCAATTCTTGCTCTAGTTGGGATATTTAAAACATTCTAATACAATCCTTCAAGCTCCTAGATTTCAAGGTGAAAAAGAAAAAAATGAATAATGAGGCTAAACAGAAAACAGACCAAGCAACAATTACTTAGTCAAAAGGCAAAAGCATGACCTATCAAATTTTTATGCGGCTTTTCACAAAAACTAAAATGTGAGTAGAAAATAGTCTCAGAAAGTCCATATTAAAGAGGAAATTATCTGTTATGTAATAAATATTAAGCTTGCCAACCTCTTTAATTTCATCCCACATGTCCTGGGCAGTTATACCCTTGGAGTTCCCAGATATTACGAAGCACGGGCACTCTGAGACATGAACATCATCACTCTCCTGTGCTTCAATTGCAAAAATAACAGGAACCTGTCCCTTTGCAGTTCTGCATCAGTAAATAAGCTTGTTACATATAAGAAATAGCACAAGCTGCAACGCTAATGGAATAAGCAAAGCAAGCACAGATGTATCTTATCTTTCTCATGCAAAAATATCAAAGAACTTACTTGTGATGCAGAAGTACACCATGAATGCCATCCTTCATCCTAGCATCACCAATGACCATGTTGGTTAATAAAAATCAAAAGCATACAACAGAACATATAAGAAAACTTTAATGAGGGCATATAGAAAACAAAATGACTCTTATTTTAAACATAATTGAATTTTTAAAAGAAGAAAGGAATCAAGTACATATATTACTTTTCTTACATTATCTTTGAATTGAAGTGACCACCAGAAAATTCAGAATCGCCACCAACAGAATTCTGAATGGGCACAGACAAAAAGAAAATCAGTCATAGTGGCTTCCCACATTCCATTTTCCTTTTAATAATTCTTTTCTTTTTTCCCTTCAATAATCTATATGGTGGTAAAAAAGAAGCACAGGAATAAATCCCTGACTCAAAACTTTGCATCAATCCTTCCTCATAGAAACAACAAAACCGAAGGGTTAAAAGGAATAATTGAAGGACTTACTGCCCAGGTGAAAAGCAAGGTGACGTCTGCAGTGGTCTTCCCAAGATTATGGATCTAAAGATATTGAAACCGAACTACTAATTACCAAGACAAAGTGATAAACTCCACAGATAGTCCAACAAATACATTCTTAAGGCATTACAATTACCGTGAAAGTAAAAGCTGAGACAGGAAAGCTGCTCTCCTCATAATTATGGGGAATAATAGGTGAAATTTGACGACAGACGATTTTAAGTTCAGGGTCCGGTTCACCTCCATTGAATAGAAAGGAAGACAAACAGTAAGAAAAGATGCTTGTGATAATAATCATTGTAGGCTTAGAAGTATAATGTTTGACAATGTGGATTACCATCATAGACAGTCCAAGCTCTTGGGTACAAGGCATGATATGTAGAATTTTCTCCTTTCAGATTCCAGTCCCAATGTCCAATCCCTGAGTCAGTGTTTTCTCTGTTCAAGCATGTAACAGACAGTGAGACTGTGATTCTCTACTTTCTTTACCTCTCATATCTTTTCTATTTGACAGGATATTCAAAGAAATTAACTGCTCTTGTATAATTATGACTAATGTTCATGTACACCTTCTATATTAAACAATAAAATAGTTATCTTACTTGAGCATCTTCTGGCTCCTCGTGCTGGGGCATAGTACACTGGAATATTTTTTACCATCCAAGCGTGAAACAAAAACCTGCAAGTGGTGTCAGCATTTACATGAATTAACAAACAATATTTGCCAATAACTATTGCATTATCCTTTTATATAGATAGTTGGTAACTCGCATCAAAATTGCATTAGGATATAAAATTACTTAGAAGGGATATACATTCAACAATCCTTTCTATAGAGCTGCCCTAATATTTCAGAGCTGAGACTCTATGACATCCTGAGATGTTAAAACGTTCTCCTATTTAAAGAAGAAAGTTTGTAAATGCCCAGACTGATGCATGCATAGGTCTTAGAATTTGGTAGCCTTCATATAACACTCTCCTTTAGTATTGGAGACAGCCTCCATTTTCCATCAAATGCAAGCACCAAATAGTGGGTGCTGTAGAATGCAAATGACTGCACAAGAGACCCTGCCAATTTCTTTGAGCTTAGATTGTTCAGAATAAGAGTGAAGTATACACTTAGAGGGAAGATAGAGGAAAATAACTAGTAAATGGTTTTAAAATCTCAAACAGAGAGATATTCTGATCATTTTCCCTGGTTCCAAGTTAAATCATTAATATTAAAGCGTTCATCATGTATCCATATGCATATGATTTAATTTATTGTTAGCTCTTGAGAGAAGAAAAATGCTATAAGTGATTGTTAGAGTCATCAAACTGACAGAAAATTGATTTGCTAAAACTGGTTTGTCTTCACATTTTCCAGGGAACAGTTGCCACCGCTGAAATTCACCTCTGTGACTTCTCCCGATACTTCCACAACTGCAGATTGTTAGATGAATGAGCAAACTTAGAAGATTCATTGAAAAGGTTGGATATGGTAGAAGTACAGAAAGTACAATATGAATATGAAACTTTGCAACATTTCACACTATATCAGATAACATGTTAAGGATAATAAAGATAAACTTAGCTACTCTATTTGACAGGTGATGTGCTGAAATCAGAAGGATAATAAAATACAAATAATTCATGGAAGGACTCCGGTGTACTGACTCCAAATAAATATTAAAAGAATAAGTTCATAAAAATACTAGATATCTTTAATGGAAGGCAAGGTTTTGAGGGGAAAAAAAAAGAAAGGTTTTCAAGTTATTGATAGGCTTACCCGATACCACCTAGGGGAACACCTTGTGATGTTGTAAACCGCTTGGTAAATGGATCAAAAATAATCATCTATAGTAGGAGACAATATAATGAGCATCTCCCAAAGAAAAAAAGAAAAAAACTAAATAATACTCGAACACAGTAATTATAAGAACAATGTAAGATGAGTAAATAATGATGAAAACAAAATTACATTTCCTTTTGCAGCTTGTTCTCGTGCAAGACGCCATAACCGAAGACCTATAGGAGCCTATGGAAACAAAGAAACCATTTTCAGAACAATCAAAAAACATCATGTTGTGTGCATAGATTATATCATAACAAGAACACAACAAATAATTTCTGTCTAGAATAGCCAAGTGAAGTCCTTAGATCGTTACATGCCGGATATCTCGGGTACAAAAATGCACCAGTCAACAGGCAAAAGCTCATGGAAAATTACACACAGCTTATTCTTATATGTTTTAACTTTGATCAAAAGCACATTGGTTAACTTGCCTATTTATTATCCATCTGTCTCATCAATCCCGGCTAGTGTTGTTGCTAATCTTGAAAGAATCCAATGTAGATTCCTATGGCATGACGAGGAGGGGAATAGGAAACATCACTTAGTGAAGTGGGAAGAGGTCAAGAAGCCTTTGTATGAGGGAGGCCTTGGTTTCAGACCTATTTTAGAGATAAATTGTGCACTTCAAGGTAAATGGTTGTGGAGATTTGTCAATGAGAAAGATAAATTATGGAAGAGGGTCGTGGAGGTGAGATGGGGGAATTGGGAATGGGATAGGGGGAGAAGAGGGAAGTTTAAACCACATGGGATGAGTCTTTGGCAGAAAATTAGGGGGGAGGGGGGGGGGGGGGGGTGGCATTCAAGTTTGGCTGGACGATTGGTTGGGAGAGGGTAAATTGATGGATAGATTTCCAACTATCTATGCTATTACTTGTGAGAGAAATAGTTTGGTGGAGGAGGTGTATGAGAGTGGTGAGGGAGAGAAGTGTGGAATATTCGGGTCAAAAGAAATCTGAAGGATTGGTAAGTTAAAGAATACTGTAACTTGCTTCCGTGCCTTGATGATATTAAGCCTATGGATTGTCGGGATAGCAGAATCTGGAAAATTGAAAAGCAAAAAGGTTTCTTGGTGAAGTCTTATTATATTTATTTATGTAAAAGGGTGAGAGAGGAAGAGCAATAAGCTCCTTACAAGCAGATTTGGCAATCAAAAGCTCCTCCACAGATATCTTTTTTTGCTGGGAAGCTGCACGAGAATGTATCTTAACTATTGATATACTTAAAAGAAAAGCTATTACATTGACTAATAGATGTTACCTTTGCAAAGCCGTTGAGGAATCTTGCAATCACATCATTCTCAAATGTCCGGAAATTTATAACATTTGGTCTACGGTTTATGGGTTGATGGGGTTGAATTGGGTTATATCGGAAACTGTTAGCAAGAAATTGTGGACTTGGTCGGGTATATGTATGAGAAAAAAATATTTATTTCTTGTTCTGCTGTTCATTTTTTGGGTCGGGTGAAATGAACGAAATATTAGACTTCTTGAGAATGTTGGAAATGATTTTGTAAAAATTAAAGATACATGAATTAACACTTTTGATTCTATTTTGTTGGGTTATGACATGAGAGATTTAGATAAGATTGGAATGGTCATTGACCACTTGATAGACATGTAATTATTTTGTATATGAACGGTACTCTCTTAGTATTTTATCTATAATAACATACTTTTTTTATTTTTAAAAAAATCTTATATATTTAAAAAGGTATACGTTCCCTCCATCCGAGCCGTGGCATCCTGGCCAACACATCTCAAGATCATTTATTCTAATTCTAGCTAGAAATGGAACAAACTAACCATCAGAGTCTTATGCTCATGATCTGTCTATCACATCAATAGATCTTGCATAGAAGAAGGCTCTGGCTAAAGCACTAGTAGTAGATCTATAGCTGTCCCTAGTCAAAGAACCTGAAGTAATTTCGGTAGCATGCCCACTCATAGTAAGAGAAGAAAGACATGTGCATTACTAGCCAGTTATAAAGGATATATACCCATATTCATAAGATTCTTTATTAATCAATCCTTCTGATCCATAAATGTCATTAACAGTGGCAGGAAGGAAAGAAGCCTAGACTTCCTTTTCCAGAGCGAGATCAAGTTGCTGGACCATAAGTAGCTTTCGCCTATATGTCAAGACCGATCTGGTGCTAGTTATGGTTATGCTGCTAAATCAACTGCATAATCGATTGGATCAAAAGTCAAATTTTATCTTATAGCTTGAACGCCTGGTTCTCTCCTAGTAATGTCACACAATCCAGAGGGTGGACGTTAGTTCAGGTTCTTTTCTTTCTTCTTTGATCCGTCTTAGGAATGAGTGGCAGCCTTTCTGCCACTGAAGAAAGCTACACTATCTAAACATTTATTTAGAATTATTTTTGGGTCATTGCTAAATTTATAGGGTAATTTATCTTGTAATAATGCATTGTGTCAGTTTGAAGAAATACAGATTTAAATCAGGTTGACAGAGCTAAAATTCAATTTTCTTGCATTTTAAGCATGACAAATATATGCTCTCTGAACAACTAAGTAGCAAGAGAGAGCTACTTTGAAGTCTTTTGTAAAGATGTAGGTCACTTTGCATTTTAAGCATGTCAATGTAGGTGACTTTAATAATCTCTATTTGAGTATTTTGAAGTCTTTTGTAATTTTTATAGAACGTACAGGTGAAGGCCCAGATACTGTAACCTAAAAGTTCCTTCTTTTCTCTTTTTTCTTTTTTCTTGTCCTCTTCCTCCCTGTGCAAACCCGTTCAATATTGTGGGAAGCTAATAAACCAAGTGCATTGACTGTTACAATTGGAAGAGAAAACGCTGAATCATCCAAGAAAGCTTTCGTTTATGTGATCCTTGCAACAGACCATAATCATAGGTAATGCTCAAGCTGCGCATCCAGCAATTAACTCTCTACCCAAGAATGCCAAATCATATTGAACTTCATCCAATGCTTCCCATAGAATATGCATTTAATTCCATCTCAATAAAAATATTAGCTTTTCTCCAATGATTTAGAGGAACATTTTAGGTTTCTTTCTGCTTTTATAAAATTATATTATCAACTGTAGGAACTGAAAGGTTGAAAAGCACTAGTTTTAATCTAAACATACCAGTTGAAGCTTCTCTTTAAAACTCAGAGTGAACTCCAAAGGGACATTTTCTTCACTGTTTAGTTTCCGATGCCATGTCAAAGGTGCAGGTTTGCTGGGATCAACCTTATTCCATGCATAAAAGAGAAGTTAGATATGAAACAAGCACATAAAACGTTCGGAGAAAGCATGTGTAAAGAAACAATAGAACAGATCATCACTTCCAAAGATCATTGAGTTTGACACACTTAGTTTCTCAATTAGTTGCTATCTAAACTTGTAACTAAAAGTTAAAAAAAAAAGTCACAAAATGGTCAAACTGAAAAAAAGGAGAGAAAATAGACACACACGAACACAGATGCAAATGGTCAGAAAAATGCCAATATTGTACTCATGATGTTTCTTTCAATCCTACCCGTGCCCCCAAAATCAACCTATCAAAAACAAAAACTAGACAATTTCCGGACAACCTGGACAAACAAAAAGGCTACTAAATCTAATTGATAAAAGGTTAAAAGAATTCAAAGATAGAATCCAAAGCATACATTTGAAACAATTTCCCCAGGTCAGAGAAATGATGAATAAAATATGACTATAGGAACACTGACTCTAATATGAAGTTGATCTTAGGTAGATAAAATCAAGCTGAGGATCAGAAAGTCATGTCTAACTGTGGATCACAAATATCTAATGAGAAAAGACAGACAAATTTGCATGCATACACTGTCATTCTTCCATTTTTAATTAGCCTAGATGCCTTCAATTTAAATTATATGGAATCAGATAACAAAGACGGTGGACTCGACAATCATATCATAAAGTCACATCCTTCAATTTCTTAAAAGATTATAAACATTATCAGAATGAGGGAAAATCTCCACTAGCCTTTAGTTAATAGAAAGATATAATTGCTCACAAATTTACCTTATTGATAGAAGAATCATGAAAACCATTATTGCAGATATCTCCCTCTGACATCCTTCCTGAATTGGATAAACAACAAGTAGATTAACCTAACAAATCGGGTGAAGTTACTTCAAAAAATTAAAATAACAATGAAGACTACTCTTTTACTTTATAAAACTCCATGAAGGAAGATAGGATGCTTATCTCTCTTAGTAAGTATAACTAAAAGTTGAACGCAGGAATGCATTAAACCCAGCTCAACTCCATTGATTTACAGTAACGCCAACAAGTTAAACAAGATTCAGAACCCGAGAATATAACAAACCAGAACCACGAGTAAAATACAAGATATCCATATTTCAAAGAACATATATTCCGGATTAAACATATATTCCCGACTCTGTCCTACAAAATAAATAACTAAGCTAAACCCATAAAAAAAAAAAAAAACAGCAAACGAACATTGAAATGGTTCTGGGACGGTAGAGTACATCAAAAACAGAAATGGGTGGAGAGTGAAGCATCATACCTACGTTGCAGAAACTGGAATGGGTTTGCAGATGAAGACGTGAGAAATAATTGGAGATTATAAATGGGAGACGGTCAATGCAAGAATATAACTTACGACTGGTCAAGTTTGTAA